TGTATGTGTGTGTGTTTGTGTGTGTGTATGTATAAGTGTGTATATGTGTGTTTTTTGTGTGTATATGTGAGTGCATGTGTTTATGTATTCGTGTGTGCTTGTGTGTGTTTGTGTATTTAGTTGTGTGTTTGTTTGTTTGTGAGTATGTGCTTGTTTGTATGTGTTGCTAGCTTGATAGATAGCTAGCTAGATAGATAGATATAGATAGATACATAGATACATAGATACATAGATACACATATACATAGATACATTGGTACATATATACATAGATAAATAGATAATTTCGACCTTCGGGTGTTCATGTATTCCTTATATAAATGAAAACCATGCTTTATTAATTTTTTTATCTTTATTATTTAAGTTATGACTATTATTATTTCCATTCTAGGCAAATCTATTAATAGAAAAAACAGCCCCCAAAGCCAAAAATAAAAGGATGTCCCAAAGGCCTCTTTGACATGCTATCCTGTCGTGTCCCGAAATCAGGGCAATCTTTTGTCGACCAAAAAAAACCCACACAAAAACCCCAACTGAATTGCGATTGGCCCTAAAGTTTGAACGAGCCTAATTCACCAGAACCCTTTCCAGGGACTGCAATGTGAGGTCTTAACTGACCCAGGATTTTCTCTAAATCCCACTGTGATCTCAAGTCGTTTACGTTTTTGGAAAATATTTCCCGTTGTCAATGCATTCACAGACTTCCCACATCCCAAACCCACGGCCTTTGTCTTCTAATCCTCTGAGAGGACCCTCACCATTCTGCCACTGAAGGAGGTTTTAGTAGAGAAGGAGAATATCTCCCCCCCCCCATCTCTAACCCTCGTCCCCCCACCCCAACCCTGTAACGCCACCCGGTGCCGTCTTGTTGGACAGTACAGTGATATACTGGCCTCTTACTTACTTATTACTGCTTTAGGTAAGGTAACGAGCTTGGTAAAAGAAAAAAATATACCCCCTCCCTCCCCCCCCCCAACCCCAAACGCACACACCATCACTACTAAGGTAAAAAAAAAAAAGTTCTTGGAGGAGGGGAGGGGGCGTTTGGATTCGGACCAACAGGAGAAGTGACACCGTTTGACAGAGGTGGAGACTATATAGAGGCTTGGACAGAGGAACATGAAGAGCTCTAATATCTTGTTGGTGGCCTATACCACAGTATCGGGGTGAAAAAGGATGATGATGATGATAGGATAAGATAAAATGATACTTTATTATCCCAGAGGGATGATGATGATGATGATGATGATGATGATGATGATGATGATGATGATGATGA